ACTGAACTGCTCGATAATTTCCTCTCGAATTTCCTCAGAATAAGGCAGCAGCTTGTTGTAAATGACCTGTTTCTGGGGCTTGTACCCGAGGCCGCTGTCCTCCTCCTCCATGATCTCTCGGTTCAAACGTCTCGTCTCGGCCTCAAAGACACGCACTCATAGTCCTTACGTCAAGTCACAGCAGCACACTAAAACGTCGCACTTTCACGATGATTTCTGCTCTTGTGTTGCGCCATGTTGTTTACGTCACTCCAGGGCTCGAGGCTCATGCGAGGAGGAAGGGAATGTCCGTCTTAAAACCATGGGCGTGCAAGTGATGCGGCTGCCAGACACCGCCCGAACAGCACCATCTGTCGCCGGAGTTCGGTACTTTTCGTGACGTCATGAAGCTGTTTTGACGTCATGAGTTAATCTGCATTTACCTCTTTCTTCGTCTTGTTTTCGTGCAGCCCTGAGTTAATCATTAAGCAATGTAAGCACGTGCTTCGGTCTCCAAGGAAAGGGAAAGCACAGAACACCGTTGCGATAGCTGTAGCCATCGAATTTTAAGATTTTTTTTTATTCGAGGTCAAGGATACATAAGAGGCGCATTACACAGTACAAGCTGATTTTCTTTGTCTGTTCTGTAATTGATTAAAATAATCGATCATTTCATCCATGTACAGCGATGTTATTCAACACAGACATATAAGGAACGCCGAAGGGTGGGGGATGGCGATGGAGCACCACTGCTCGTCTGTGCTTTGACCATCAATTCCCGGGCTTAAATCTGGACCTTAATACAAGATTTTTAGGCAGTCCTAAGGAGAGATAGTATATATATTTTAATAAGCACATCAGTTTCAAAATCGATCAACATTATGAAAAGAGGGAAAATCTTTTATACATGTTACAGGTATGGCATTAAGTTTTTCATCCATGAGTTTCCCGCACTTTTTGGTGATTTTTCTTTTTATCCGATGGTCTTCTATATAGTAAACTATTCAGACTGTCACTTTCATTCTGCAATCACAAAGGCGAAAGTGCAAACGTGTCGTGACAAACCGATATTTTTCATTAGTTGCTTACTCAGACTCAAACTCGACTTCCTTGTATAATTACTCATCATTTTCACCTAGCAAAGTACTATTCGACGTCGGTGGATATATAGTACTTTATCATAGGTAAATATAAGGGATCATGTCCACTATTTACGATAGAATTGTGTTTCATCTGGGATGCTTTGTAGATTAAACATGAATCAGTGACGTAGTGACTTTATATATATTTTCACCCCACCTCTTCCCCTTGTCTTGTCCAGTCCAGTGCAGTCCAATGGCAACAAAGAGAAAGGGTATTTATTGAGTCAGAATGCGTCGTTATTAGTCAGTGTCTGAAAATATTTAAGAATTTTTATTCACTTCATGTCCGGGCATAGATGTCTTTTGTTTAGGCACAGTGGGCATTAAAAATGGGCCAAGCGCTTTAGGAAAGACCCCTACATATTGCACTGTCTCCAGGAACGAAATGTGTTAATATGCCTTCTTGCCATACGTTATTATGATATATAGAATGAATGAAGAGGTTAGAATCATTACATTACTCGTAACTGTGTAGGGTAGACAGCTATTAGCAAATAATCATAATGGATCGGGCGCCCCGAAAAGTTTAAATAGTACTTTTATAGATGAATAGAATAAGATATTCAAAATCTATCTGAATGAGTATATCTTCTAGAGCAGCAGTGTATAATCTTTTCAGGTCAGGTGTTTACCACCTTCCGCGTTATGACCTAGTTAAACACCCTCCGTGCATGGAACTAAATTGCGTGGTAGATGGATGTGCTCAGAGTTTTGATGAATTTCTGAGAAGCGAATATTTTCCAATAAGTTGATAGTATTGGTGGTTTTGACATTTTCATGATACATCTATAAAATCCTAAGTATTGCCCCCTCCAGCGACCATTATATAGGAGATGCGCATTCGGGAAAGATAATGCAAGGTCATTAATGGTCGCCAGGATATGAAACATCGACCAAACTATTGCATCAACTTTGAATTTCTTCTCCCGTGAACTTTCAACGGTGTGAGGACATTTAAAAGGAAAATTTGATCCTATAACTTTATGAAACTCTTGTCTCTTTTTGCTATTTTACTTTGTAATGTTATTCATGTAGTTTCACCTGTCCCCCCCCCTTTTTTTTTCTTCTAAAAGCGGCCTGTGATACCTGTGCATAAAAAAAACCTATGGGATATTGTAATATTCACAGCGTCATGATGACATGTACACAGTGACATACCGTGACGCATTTATCAGTAATGACAGGTAATTTCGTTAGGCCCACGGAATTAAAATATATTTTTTTTTATGTAATTAGGCGTTTTCACAGCTACTGAGACTACCTCAGGTTGATCTTCCTTTTGATCGAAAAAAACGATGAATATGGCAAAGCAGATTTGTATTCTTACATTACACAAAATAAGAGGCATCACAGAATGCACGAGCAAGGCTAGGGAGGTA